AAACTCCAGAGTTCCCAGCTGGAAGAAATTGTAATTTTAGAATTGGTTGATCAAGAAATAGATGTTGACAATTGACTCAATTTTGGTAATGTTTTAAATGAATCTGTATTTTATTAACACATATACAAATGATAAATTTATAATTTGTTTATTGTATTTTATTAGTCACAACTAATCTACATACATTTGAAAATGGTGGCGTATACATATGGTGAAAATAGCATTTTCACTGGATCTCAAATTATGTTGGTGAGCTTATAAACTAGAAGATCCCTTGCAAGAAGGCCATAGATTCCCCAGAGGCGAAGCTTTGCAGGCTGGAAATCTTGGCATTCTTCCTTTACTCATTTTTTTTTTGACGGAGTCTTCCTCTGTCGCCCAGGCTGGAGTGCAGTGGCCAGATCTCAGCTCACTACAAGCTCCGCCTCCCGGGTTTACGCCATTCTCCAGCCTCAGCCTCCCGAGTAGCTGGGACTACAGGCGCCCGCCATGTCGCCCGGCTAGTTTTTTTGTATTTTTTAGTAGAGACAGGGTTTCACCGTGTTAGCCAGGATGGTCTCGATCTCCTGACCTCGTGATCCACCCGTCTCGGCCTCCCAAAGTGCTGGGATTACAGGCTTGAGCCACCGCGCCCGGCCAAAAGCATATTGGGTTAGGTGCTGGTGTCTCCAGGCTGGCTTTTGTACTACAGTGCTTCACGTTCTTGAAAACTGGAAAACAAATGGTTCAAACTCAACCTTTAGTAATAAAATTTCCCTTCTGACTTTCTAGACATGGGTCAAAATTACTTCATTAAATTTCAACAGTGTTTAAGCATGCGTTTGTACTGTGATTTTCACTTATTAAGCGCTCTCATGTAATATCTTATTGTTATCAATTATATGTAATTTATCAATTAGATATTCCTATTAAAGAACAGGTCTAAGAAGAGAGGAATCTGATTTTGTGAAAAAGAAATTGTAGGGAAGAAAATCACTGGACTGAGGTCATGCTGCAAGTTAGAGGCCAATCCTAGACAAGAACTTTGTTTTCTAATTTTTTAAAGAGATGGGGTCTTGCTACTTTGCCCAGGTTGGCCTCACACTCCTGGGCTCCAGTGATCCTCCTGCTTCAGCCTGCTCAATAGCTGGACTACAGGCACAAGCCACTACACCCAGCTAGAGCTTTTTCTTTCCTTTCTTCTTTTCTTTTTCCTCCTTCTCCTTCCTTCCTTCCTTCCTTCCTTCCTTCCTTCCTTCCTTCCTTCCTTCCTTCCTTCTTTCTTTCCTTCCTTCCTTCCTCTTTCTCTCTCCTTCCTTCCTCCCTTCTCTCTCCTTCTCTCCCCTCTCCTTCCTCTCTTTCCTTCTTGTTCTCTCTTCTCCGCCGTCCCTCCACTCCCTCCTTCCTCCTCCCTTCCTTCTTCCTTCCTTCCTTCCTTCCTTCCTTCCTCTCCTTCCTTCCTTCCTTCCTTCCTTCCTTCCTTGTCTCTCTCTACCTGCTCAAGCCATCGCCCTCAGCCTCCCCCACCCCCTCAGAGTAGCTGGTACTGCAGGTGCACGCCACCACGTTCAGCTACTTTTTGTATGTTTGTAGAGATGGGGTTTCACCATGTTGCCCAGGCTGGTCTCATACTCCTGGGCTCAAGTGATCCTTCGCCTTGGCCTCCCAAAGTGCTGGGATTACAGGTGTTTACCACCCGTGGCAGAATTTTATTTCTTAAAATGATTTTTGCTGTTTTTTCCTTTATCTTATATTGCCTAGGACTGTCTTTCTTTTTCTTTTTTAAAAAAATTTGTAAATAAATTTTAAGTAAACAGGGTCTTAAGCCTCCAGCCACCCCTTCATCTCTTACATTTCCCTCCAGCGAAATTGTGGTACTATGCACACGCCTGGGTCTCCTTGTCCTTCACCAACTTTGGCTCCAACTGGGGTCTTGAAATCCCTCCGCCATCTATATACAATAAGAAATCCAGAGTATCCACTCCAGCTGGCACTTTTTCTGCCACACAGATGAGCTTTTAATGAACAAAAACTGTCATATCGATCTATTGGAATTTTATGGCTGCTGAATGGAATTTATTGAGACCAGCTCAGCAAAGTAGTGTCCTCTATGTCTAGTCATGCCTCAGGAAGGGTCGGGACTTAAACCCCAATATGAAAAAGCTTTCAAATCCCAGCACTTTGGGAAAACGAGGCAGGAGGATCATGGGGGTCGGGAGTTCGAGACCAGCCTGACCAACATGGAGAAACCCCGTCTCTATTAAAAATACAAGCTTAGCTGGGCGTGGTGGTGGGCGCCTGTAATTCCAGCTACTTGGGAGGCTGAGGCAGGAGAATCTCTTGAACCCGGGAGGCGGAGGTTGCCTTGAGCTGAGATCGCGCCACTGCACTCCAGCCTGGGCAACAAGAGCGAAACTCCATCTCAAAAACAAACAAACAAACAAACAAAAGGCCCTCTTGCTTGAACAACGTCCCCTGCAGATACTTTCTGGGCACGAGGGATGCCGTAAGGGCTCCACTTTGCTTATCTCCGTGCGAATCTTTTACTCATCCTGACACGGGCTGGTTCTAATTGATATCCGTCTTGCTTCCTGGGGATCCCTGAGGAATTTTTAAGAGAAAAATGCAACTTGTTTTGTGAACGGAAAACCAAGTTTGGCTAAGAGTAAACAAATAATAATGCAAGAAAAGCGCATGAGAAGAATAAAAATGAAACACAAGCACTCTTTCTTTCCTTTAGGGCAGGGCAGTGCAGGGGAAGGAAGGACAGTGGGAGAGGGTGGGAAAGGCAGAGGAGGAGGCTGAGTTTATTTTTAACACCAAGTTAAAGGCATACTCTGTGTTCTTTCCTTTTAAAAATAGACTTTAACCTCTTGAAGCATTTTGACTCTATTCTGCCTGTGGGGTAAAACCCCTTTTGTGGCTGGCAACTCCCACTGGGTCTTTTCCCATCATTACAGGCTTACTAGCCAAGTAGTTAGAGCGATGGAAAAACCCCAGCATTTTTCTTCAAAGAGTTCCTCATTAGCATATGCACACAGCTTCTGTGCGCAGAGAAGCTTAGAAACCCCGGCTGCTTACCTGCAGCTTGAGCTTCCCTGCATTTTTCAGAACTGATGGTTAGGGGAAAATTCTCTTTTTAAAATAGTTTGGATTCATAAACTAATGGAGACAGTCTTTTTTCAGTCCACTGCAAAATTTATTAGTTGAGTTTATGAATAATGCAGCATACCGACACCTATAAAATTTGATATGGGTGAACAGATATGGTAATAGCTCACTCTAACACTTTTTGAAGGCTTCCTATGGGCCAGATACTGTCTTTATGCATTTAATGCTCTGAACAGTGCTCTCAGGGTACATAATATTACCATCCCATTTTACAGACGAAGAAACTTGAACTCAAGGCTATTAAATAACAAACTCAGTGAGTGAGTTTAGGTAAAGAGATTCAAACTCAGGCAAGACAGTCAGTTCAGGTCCACTGCTAGCTCATACCATAAGCACATAATTAGAAAAGACACCCCTACTTTAAGATATTGTTGCTTCCATCTTTTAGAAAGTTACCAAAAATACCAATTTTGTTAGAAGACATTTTGCTGCCACTTACAAGACTGTTGCCACAATAAATATATAGATCTGCAATGTATTGATGAGGTGAAGCATGCCCCCTTAGATGTGACAACCTTGTGCAGTGCACTGCCTGCACAAAGGTACATGACAGCCATTCAGTACACGTACACCTGCAAGCACACATGTGTACTTCCACAGAAGAAAAAAAAGACTGTTTTAGTTTAGTCTTTTGGTCTTTTAGAGGTAACCAGGCTGATCTGACTTCAGGAACTGCTCTTCTATGTGGCTCAGTCTAGAATGAGTATAGATCATATAAAAGGGTCTGAGACTGGTTGTATTTGTACACAGTTCAAAAATACCCTACTCTTACTTCCTCTTTGCTTCTCCTCTGGGGAATAAACACTGAAGAAACATTTTACACAGGAAGTTCCATGTATACAGGTGTGTTACAGGATGAGGATAAAAGAAATAGAATAATTCACAAACCTGGGGAGATTAAACTTTTATTATAGAAAATTTCAAACAAATACTGAAGTAGAACAAAAAGTATAATGAACCCCACTTGCCTCTGTGAACCTAACATCCAGATGTAAAAATCATCGGCTGATAGCCATTCCTGCTTCATCTGGATTTCCACTCATTCTCCTTCATATTGAAGCAATTCCTAGACACATCATTTTAGCCAAAAATATTTCAGTACATTTCTCTATAAGATATGAAATCTTTTCAAAATATAACCACAATACCATTATTACAACTTAACAAAAATAATAAGAAGTCTTTAATATCATCATATAGCCAGTGTTCAAAATTTTAATTGTCTCCCAAATGTCCCAAATTTTCTTTTTTCATTTGTCTGTTTTTACCTTGTGTTTGTTTGAAATGGGAACCAACTAAGTTCAAACATCACATTGGTTGTTATGTTTAAGTCTCTTTTAATGTACAAGTTCTCCCTTTATCTTCCTTCATCTCTCTCTTTTTTTTTTTAACAGAGTCTGCGTTTTGCTGATGGCATCCAGGTAATGTTTAACGTGGTTCTCTGCTGCAGAATCCTTTCTGTATCTGTATATTCTTTTAAGGTGCTTGGGTGAATTTGATCCATAGCCAGGCTTGGAAAATACTGGAGAAGTTGTGTTTCTGCTTCTGGATTTCTTAATGTCTGTTACCTCGTTTTTTAAATTTCATTTTTCTATTTCTTTCTTTTTTTTTTTTTTGACGGAGGGGTCTCTCTCTGTGGCCCAGGCTGGAGTGCAGTGGCCAGATCTCAGCTCACCACAAGCTCCGCCTCCCGGATTTACGCCATTCTCCTGCCTCAGCCTCTCAAGTAGCTGGGACTACAGGCGCCTGCCACCTCGCCCGGCTAGTTTTGTTTTGTATTTTTTAGTAGAGATGGGGTTTCACCGTGTTAGCCAGGATGGTCTCGATCTCCTGACCTCGTGATCCGCCCGTCTCGGTCTCCCAAAGTGCTAGGATTACAGGCTTGAGCCACCGCGCCCGGCCATCATTTTTCTATTTCTTAAATCCTCTATAGGAAATATGGATTTCTGAATGTCTTGGTTGAAAAAACAAAACTCGGAGGAACTTGAGTGCAATCACAAAACTACATGTCCACCACCTGTTGACAGATAAGGAATGTTGACTTGAATGTTGAGGGCATCTAGAATCCCTGGTGCAACTAAGGGATTGTTCCGGGAACAACTTCTCAGCCAGGCTTGAGACGGGCAATAGATCTGAATTAGCAGTGCTGGAGAAAAAGAGGACCTCCCAGCTGGGGGATTTGGTCTCACTTGAGGCCTTGTAGGAACTAGTAACCAGCAGGTGAATTGTTAATTAGCAGGCAAAGCCTGGCCTGGAATAAGCTGGTGCTTGACTTAAGTGGAGTTTAAATAGCTGGGAAAACAATTGTTCTAAGGATACTTGACTGGAGGCATTTCCAGCTTATGCTTGTGGCAGAAGCAGTGATGTGTTCTGTCTTAGGCACCTCTGCTGCTTCTGTCATCAACCTGGGTGATATGCTTTGGCTGTGTCCCCACCCAAATCCTATGTGTCGTGGAAGGGACTCGGTGGGAGGTAATTGATTCATGGGGGCAGGCCTTTCCTGTGCTATTCTCATGATAGTGAATAAGTCCCATGAGATCTGACAGTTTTATAAAGGAGAGATCACCCACACATGCTCTTTTGCCTTCTGCCATGTAACACGTGACTTTGCTCCTCTTTTGCCTTCCGCCATGATGATGAGGCCTCCCCAGCCATGTGGAACTGTGAGTCCGTTAAGCCTCTTTCCTTATAAATTACCCAGTCTCAGGTATGTCTTTATTAGCAGCATGAGAACAGACTAATACACTTGGCTTGCTTTCTTCTGTGTCTTTTTTTTTTTTTTTAGACGGAGTCTCGCTCTGTAGCCTAGGCTGGAGTGCGATGGCGTGATCTTGGCTCACTGCAACCTCTGCCTCCCAGGTTCAAGCCGTTCTCTGCCTCAGCCTCCCAAGTAGCTAAGATTACAGGCACGCACCACCACGCCCGGCTAAATTTTTGTATTTTAGCAGAGATGGGGTTTCACCATGTTGGCCAGGCTGGTCTCGAACTCCTGATCTCAAGTGATCCACCTGCCTTGGCCTCCCAAAGTGTTGGGATTATAGGCGTGAGCCACCACACCAGGCCTCTTCTGTGCATCTCAAAGGCTTGAGAAGATTTAAAAAACAAAATAAATAACAGAGCATTACCTTTTCTTGGTGAGGGGTTTTGGGCTTTCTTTCCACATGTCCACATTGATCTGTCAACACCTGCCCCAGGCCCCTGCTGTTCTCCTTGCCCCATACCTGCTGCCAAAAGGGGTGCTTGCTGTCAGAAAGCCAGCGGTCGAAGTGTCTCTACCACTGGCTAGCTGGGCAACCTTGGGTAGGTTCCTCAGTTCTCTGAGCTCTGTAATCTTTACCTGTAAAATAAAGATTGTATCACCTGCTCCACCTACTATAAGAGGCCGTTGTAAGAATCAGCCTCTTATGGTAGGTGGAGCAGGTGATCCAAAAGAGTTAAGGTAGGTGAAAGTCCTGTCCTTCATTAAACCACAAATCATCATACAATTGCTCTTGCTGCCTGCTGCCTCCCCTCTGCTCGTGGTCATTCATTCCTGGCTGAGAGGGCAGAAGGCGAACAGGTCCCCAAGACTTTTTAGTTGTATCATTTGGGGCAAGTCATGCTGTGAATTTCTGTTTCCTCATACATAAAATGGGAATAACTTTACCTAGCATTTATTTACATCCTTCTTTATTTACACTGCACCTTGACCCAATGATGTTATCAGCACGAAAGCTGAGATAGACACACATAAAGCATCTAACCTAGACTTGGCGCCCAGTCGTTACTCAGTAAAAGGGAATTCTTTCCTTCCCTGTTTGTGGAAATTGGACTATGGTATAACCCAGCTGATATACCTTCCTTTATAAAGAAGGAACTCCTCCTCTAACTGCCGAGGATAGTACTGTCTTCTACTCCTTCACCCTCAACTTTTAATCTCAGTGCTTTGCTCAAGGCCCAAACATGCTTTAAATTCTCTTCGGAAGTCTGTAGACTAGGGAGTTATATGATGGAGTCTTCTTTTATTACTTGGGGATAAAAGTTCCTCAACAGCATGTGTGAAAAAGACTCAAATGTTTGTTTGACTACAAAATTAACATGAGTCAACAGTGTGACGAACAAGCAAGAAATGTATTTTAGGAAGTGTGAAGGGAACGGTCCAGTGAGAGGATAGTTTTAGATTCATTCTCCTCGTGTTGGTCTGACTACGCTTGGACTAAAGGACTCAGTTCCAGACGCTGATGCCTGGGGACAGATCATCAGAAAGGAGTGCTAGCAAAGAACTTGGGATGCAGAGTGTTTGAGTAACTTTCAGAAACTGAGACTCCTTAAACTGCAAAAGATGTATTTCAGGAGAGATATGTATTGTCTTTTGTTTTTTGAACGGACTGAACAAAACACCACCACTTTGGATTTACTTAAGAGTAACAATTTCTAAGGAGTATGTAGAAGTACACATTGGAGGTTATGTGACTCCCAGGGGAAGAATTAGGGATGATAGGTAGTAGTTATACAGCAGTAGTTTTAGTGGTATTTCTGTTTCTATTCCTATTCACAACTCTGGGTTTTTGGAAGAATGGGTTATTAAAACGATTTAAAACTGGGCTTTCTTACAGCCAGTTTCAGCATTATGTTACATACAAAAGACATTCAAAGCAATATTGAAATTGTGAATTAGAAAGGGACACAACCACTAATATACCAGAAATTAAAACAGTTAACAAGAGACAATCAGGTATGACTTTATGTCAATTAACCCAGACGATATACAAAATGGTTAACTTCCAGGAAACAATAATCAATATAAATTTAAGAAGAAATAACCTAAATTCTATGATCCTGAAAGATATTACATCAATGATTATAGCTACCTATATTATGAAATAACATACAAATAATTTTTTTTTTTTTAAAGACAGTCTCGGCTCACTGCAATTTCTGCCTCCTGGGTTCAAGCAATTCTCCTGGTTCAGCCTCCCAAGTAGCTGGGATTACAGGCACCCACCACCAAACCTGGTTAAATTTTGTATTTTTAGTAGAGACGGAGATTTCACCATGTTGACCAGGCTGGTCTCGAACTCCTGACCTCAAGTGACCCTCCAGCCTCAGCCTCCCAAAGTGCTGGGATTACAGGAGTGAGCCACCATGCCTGGCCACAAATAATTTTTTACAGGTGAGTTTTACCAGTTTTTCAAGGAATATATAATCCCAATCTTATATAAACTATTCCAGAGAGTACCCCAATGCTCATTTTATTAGACTGACATAAACTTGAATCCAAAATAAGACAAGGACAGTAAAGAAAAATGTAGGGGGTTCTAGCTGAACAGTGAGGCAGGAAAAGGAAGACATACTCATTGTAAAAGCAAAACAAAACAATCGCTATTTACAGAAATTGCCTTCATAGAGTCTAAGAGAAAGCATAACATTAGTATAAAGATAACATCAACATCAATAAATAATTTTTAAAATATTAAATATTATAAAAAGTTCTTCCTTAATTAATTCAAAACAATCCCACTTTTTTTTTTTTTGGATACTTGACAAGATGATTTAAAAAGCTATGTGGAAGAGCAAAGGACCAGTAAGTTTATAGAAGACCAAGATAGGAAGGCTCACTTTAACCTATCAAATATGTCAGTAGGGTTCAATCAAGGAACTAGAGCCACAAAGACTGTTATGACATGGGATTTAGTCTAGAAAGCAGACCTTATCCAATTGTGGGAGGAGCTGGGGAGATGAAAATCTCGAAGAAGAAGCTGGGAGCTCAGAGAAGAGTCTAAACCATCTTCTGAGAGCACTGGCATAAGTGGACAAGTCAGAGTTTACAGAAAAAACTTAAGAAGCCAACTACACATCCAACGACTGAGTTTGTCCTGCAGAGGGAACTCATGGAGATGTCTGTGTGAAGCTGTTGCCTTTGTGAAGCCACCTCCTCTGTGGCTCTTAGCCAAGTATCTGGTAGTAGGTCTTGGGCTGCAGGACCAGAATTTGGGAAGAAGAGCAGGACGCAAAGCAGAGGAGAACAAGGGCAAGTTGGAATCTGTTAGATACTTCTGTGTCTGCCACCCCATCTAACTGTGAAGAGCTTCACAGAGTAAAGGACTCCCCTTCACTTCCACATCCCAAAGTCTCACACAAGGTCTTCTGTTGGCCAACGTGGACCTGGAACCAGACAGGAAAGGGAATTCCTAGCTCAACCAAAGTGGTAATGAAATAACTTAGCATGTCAAGATGAATGTTAAAGTTATTGTAATTAAGACAGTGAAAGCCTGGGCAACAGAGGGAGACCCTGTCTCTACAAAAAAAAAAAAAAATTAGCAGGTGCAGTGGCAGGTACCGGTGGTCCCAGCTACTCAGGAAGCTAAGGCAGAAAGATCACTTGAGGCCAGGAGTTCCAGACCAGCCTAGGCAACATAGTGAGATCCCATCTCTACAAAATTAAAAAAAATTAGCTGGGCAAGGTGAAGTGCACCTGTAGTCCCAGCTACTCAGGAGGCTGAGGCAGAAGGATTACTTGAGACTAAGAGTTTGAGGTTGCAGTGAGCTATAATCAAGCCACTGCAGTCCAGCATGGGCAGTAGAATGAAACTGTCTCAAAACAAACAAACAAACTAATTTACAAAAAGAAATGCTTGTTGTAGGCAAAAACAAACAAACAAACAAACAAACAAAAAACAGAAAGAAAGAAAGTGAAAGAAAGAAAAAAAGAGAAAGAAGGAAATGTTTGTTGTAGGAAAAAAAAAAAAATGACAAAAACCCCAAAAAATAGAGTAATGGAATACAGAGCCTAAAACCAGACCTATTCATGTATAGAAATAACATGAAAAAAATGACATTACAAATTCATTAATGATATCACAATATTTGGTTTCTCATATGGAGAAGTGATTGAAAAAACTCCTTACCTCATACCAGTCACAAAATTAAATTCGACGTGGATTCAATCATAAAATCCTAAACGTGAAGAACAAACTTTAAAAACTTTTACAAATAAAATATAGAAGAGTATTGGTATGACTGCACTGAAGAGAAGGATTGATTAAACAAAAGATAAAAGAATACAAAGAATGATATATTGACTAGATTCCAATTTAAAACTGCTTAACAAAAAATGTCATAAAAATGAAAAAGACAAGCCAGACTAAAAGAAGATATTTCCAACATATAACCACAAATAAATTATTATTGTTCAGAATAGTTAAAGGATACCTACAAGTCAAAATGATAAGTCCTAGGGTAAGGAAAGGAATAGGAAATTCACAGGAGACAAGATTTGAATGGCCAATTCAAAATGTTAAAACAGGGCTCACTTATTGAGCACTCACTATATTATTCTAAAGGCTTTACTGAGCATTAACTATATATTATTCCAAATGCTTTGCATATGTTAACACACATTTTCCTGGCATTGAGTACATGAGGTAGGTGTTACAATCTCTTTCTTCCTCCAGAGAGAGAAAGTAGGGCTGAAGTCATACAACTAGTTAACAGTAAAGTCAGCATTTGAATACCAGTGATTTGACTCTAAAATCTGAGTTCTTAACTATCTTCTATTTTATCAACTTGTTAAATTTAAACATTTGGCAATACTCACTGTTGTCAAGGATGTGGCAGAATGGGAACAAGTGAACCCCATTTGTTGGGGTGTAAATTGATACCACTACTTAGTTGGAGAGCAATCTGCCTTTACAAATTGAGACTGTTAGGTCCACAGCCTAAAGTCATACCCACATAAACAAGGAAAATGTACAAGAATGTTTATTGCTGCAGTGTTTGTAGCAGAGCAAAAATACAGTGTAAAATATTTATACTGTGGAGTATTAATATGAAATAATCTAAGTAAAACCCTATAACATAATGTTGATTTAAAAAAGCAAGTTGGAAATGGATATATATAGAGTATGATGCCACTCATATAAAATTTAAAAGTATGCAAAACATGACATGGTTCATATACATTGTAAATTTATAAAACACGAAGAAATAAATTTAAAATTCAGGAAAATGGTTGCCATTATGAAGGGGAATGAAAGAATGAGATGAGGGATTTTGCAGGAAGGATCAATTGTATCTGTAATAATGTATTTCTTTGAAAAATGAGTAAATAGGGCAAGATATTAAGACACAGCACAACTAGGTGGTGAATATGTTCTATTCTTTGTATTTTTAACTTCAATGGCCTGACCCACATTTTTTATCTCACTTGTCACTCTTCCCCTCTTTCATGGGGAAGAGTGCCTCATGGGGCCTCCTACCTTTCACTGAACAAGCCATGCTGCCTCACACCACACTTTTCCTCACTTGGGAATGCCTTCTGCTTAGAAAAACCCTGTTCATCTTTCATGGCTTAGAATATTTCATTTAGGAAAGCACCTGAAAGTACACCCATGTTCATAGCAGCATTGTTCACAATAGCTAAAGGGTTGAAGTAATCCAAGTGTCCATCAACTAATAAATGAATAAATAAAATGTGGTATATCTACACAATGGAATATTATTCAACTGTAAAAAGGAAGGAAATTCTGACACATGCTACAACATAGATGAAACTTGAAGACATTATGCTAAGTGAAATAAGCCAGTCAAAAATGCACAAATATTGTATAAGTCCAGTTATATGAAGTACCTAGAGTAGTCAAATTCACAGAAGCAGAAACTAGAATGGTGATTGCCAGGGGCTGAGAGAAGTAGGTGATATAGTTTGGCTGTGTCCCTACCCAAATCTCATCTTGAATTGTAGCTCCCATAATCCTCACATGTTGTGGAAAGGACCCAGTGGGAGGTAATTGAATCACGGAGGTGTGTTCTTCCCATGCTGTTCTCATGACAGTGAATAAGCTTCATGAGATCTGATGGTTTTATAAAGGACAATTTCCCTACACATGCTCTCTTGCCTGCCGCCATGTAAGACATGCCTTTGCTCCTCCTTTGCCTTCCGCCGTGATTGTGAGGCCTCCCCAGCCATGTGGAACTGCGAGTCCATTAAACCTCTTTTTCTTTATAAATTAACCAGTCTCAGATATTTATTCATAGCAGTATGAAGATGAACTAATATAATAGAGAATAGGGAGTTATTAATGAGGACAGAGTTTCAGTTTGTGGAGATGAAAAAATTCTGGAGATGAATGGTGGTGCTGGTTGTACAACATTGTGAACATACTTAATGCCACTCAACTTTTCACTAAAAAATTGGCTAAAATGGTGAATTTTATGTTACATACACATTTTTACCATATTAAAACAAGCAAGCAAACAAACAAAAGCAAGCTGAAAGGCAACTTATAGTATTATTAGAAGTCTCTCAAAGAGGAGGCAGAGGGAGACTGCCTCCCATGTAGATGCCATCCAGCCCCAGCCCCTGTGAGCTCCTTGTCTCCTCTTACCTTGTCGATGGGTGTGTTCTGTTTTTCCAGTGATATCTTTGCTTTTTCCTGTAAGGCAAACTCAAGTTGTCACTTCTCCACTTTTGCTCCCTACTCATCACCCCAATGATGACAGTAAACCCTGGGGTGCTTTCTCTCTTGTTTAGTCTGTTCTTACACTGCTATAATAAATACCTAAGACTGGTAATTTATAAAGGAAAAGAAGTTTAGTGGACTCACAGTTCCACATGACTGAGGAGGCTTCATAATCATGGCAGAAGGTGAAGGCGGAGCAAAAGGCATGTCTTACATGGCAACAGGCAAGAGGGCATTTGCAGGGGAACTGCCCTTTATAAAACAATCAGATCTCATGGAATGTATTCACTATCACAAGAATAGCATGGGGAAAAACCTGCCCCTGTGATTTAATAACCTCCCCCTGGGTCCCTCCCAGGACAAGTGGGGATAATGGGAACTACAATTCAAGATGAGATTTGGGTGGGAACACAGCCAAACCATATCATCTCCCCTTCTGACTAGACCCAGCGTTCTCAGTCCCTTGCCTTTCAGAGTGTATTTCTACCTTCTCCATTGATTTCCCTCCCCTGCCCAGGCTTTGAGTATCTGTTTTAAGAATTGTAACCTCACCTCATGTTCTGATTGCTTCCTGGGCCTGGCAATTTGGTTTTGGCTTCTTGACTCAGTTGTGAGTTGTAACCAGGATTCACCCAGCGACTCAGCTTTGTAGAAAGGGCCAAGCCCTTTTCTGACTGGAACTATGTGATTCCACTTCATGGTTTATCAAATGTGGACTTCCTTGTTATTATGAAATCACTTTAAAGCCTTTATGGTGATCTACTTAAATGCATATATATATATTTATGTATGTTTGTGTGTGTGTTTATATCCACATATATCCACATATATATCTATATATAGAGATAGATGTGTGTGTGTGTGTGTGTGTGTATCTCCCCATTTGCTTGTGGATGCATAGAAAATGACAAAAACTGATAACAGAAGTTTCTAGAGGAAAGGCAGTCTTTGGTTCAGTGCTGGGGCTGAGTGGGAGCAGAAGAAAAATTCCTTGTGAACTTTCCACCTTTTCTTCACCTGGAATTGTTTATAATAAGCATATGTCATTTATATAATAAAAGTAAATATTCACAGTGAAACACTGTGTTCTAACTGGTATAATAAGCTCTTAGTATTTGATCCCGAGAGCCCCTCTTTCAGAGGCACTGTCAGTCGAATACACTGCTAGGGCTAATGTCAGCTTCCAGGGGAAATCGTCGTTGGGAGGTGCAATTTCAGATCCAGCTGGAGAGAGGCAAGGGTGTGGCTGCAAACCCCTTTTCTAATCTGAACAGGATATTTGTAAGGTAGTCACTGTGCAGCTGTGGAGATGAGTGATAGGGCTGCCATTCTGGTCCCGCCACTGCTTCTTCCTCTGAAAGCAATTTAGAGGAGAGCCAAGAAGAACAGAGCCTACCCCTTTAATTAGCCTGCGGAGCCAGGCAAGGTAAATATTTGTGACTGAAACAGCGTGGATCCATGGAAGCTGGGATTTTAGCCTAGAAGCCTTGTGCTGCCAAGTTGCCATGAGACCAGAAGCTGGAGCTATGTTTTGCCTCAGAAAGTGCTTCTGAGTTGAAGAGAAGTGGGAAGGAAATCAGCAGTAGAATTAAGGTCTGTGTATTAGCTGAGGATAATAAGAGTGTATCTATCCCTTAGGGTAAACGCACAAATTTTACCTGTTTTTTATTTTGTCTTTATATTGATTTCTTATATTTAAAAAAATTCAGGCTGGGCGTCGTGGCTCATACGTATAATCCTAGTACTTTGGGAGGCCCAGGCGGGAGGGTCGCTTGAGCCCAGGAGTTTGAGACCAGCCTAGGCAACAAAACAAGACGCTGTCTGTATAAAAAATTAACCAGGCGTGGTGGTGGGCACCTGTAGTCCCAGCTACTTGGGAAGCTGAAGTGGGAAGATCGCTTGAGCTCAGGAGTTGGAGGCTGCGGAGAACTATGACGGCGCCACTGCTGGGTGACAGAGAAAGACCCTGTCTCTAAAATAAAAATAACAATTTTTCTAAGTAAGAAAAACAAATAAATAAAAAATTTAGTGTCCTGAATGTTGACTTATTGAACTTCCTGCATCTACTAGCTCATTCTCTGGTTTCCAGGGATCCTGAATAAAAATAAGATCGTTTCACTGCTCTTCTTATAACTTTTCAATGCCTCTTCATTTCTCTTAGGATAAAATCCTGACTCCTGTAGTTCGTGTGTAGGGTGACTATATGACTGATATTCAAACTGGGATGGCTGTGAATACGAATGTAAGGAAAACAGATGCAAGGGGGACTGCCACGGGAAAACCAAGATGTATCCACGAGACCCTGCTAGATCTGGCTGCAGCCCCAACCCTCCCTGTCCCCATCTGCCCACCTTGCTCCAGGTATGACTCCCTTTCTTGTTGTTCAATGATATCACCATGGAGTCTTCACTGCCCCTCAGTCATGCTCCTGTCTGCCTTATTTATCTTTGGGGTCTCAGATGTCTCCTCAGAGAGGCTTTCCGTGACCACCCATTCTGGAATGGTCTCCCCAGTTGCTGTGTATTTTATCTCTGCACATTTCCGTCATCACATCTGAAATAATCTGTGAAGATATTGTTTGTGCATTTGTTGACTATCTGTATTAGCTACCAGGCTGAGGCCAGGGACTTGTTTGTCTTGCTCACTAGCCTGGCACATGGTAGGGACCCAGTAAATACGTAGCATTTACTGGGTGAAGTAATGAACGATCAGGTGAAGATCTTTAAGTTGGACTGAATGACCCAGAGATGCCCACTGCCTTGATTCTCATCATGTGAATTAGGTCCATCTTCAGTAGAAGAGAATGAATGCAAACAGAGAAAAGCAGAGGGAATAGAACGAGAGAGCATGCTGGACAAATCCTGGTTACAGGCGTTACGGGTATACACTTTATCCTTCATTTGTTCCTTAATGGGGTGAGCCATTTAAATAAGTTATAAATAGACTTCTCCTCCCCTTCCTAGCCTGAACTAGAATTGGGATTGGGGTTCCATATTTACAACCAAAGACTTCTAGGAAAACACCATTAGCCCCTTTCTTTTGGAATATATGTTCCCCTGCCCACCTCCCTTCTTTTTTCTCATCCGGACTGGAGTGCAATGGCAAGATCTCAGCTCACTGCAACCTCTACCTCCTGGGTTCAAGCAATTCTCCTGCCTCACCTCCCGAGTAGCTGGAATTACAGGCTCATGCCACCACGCCCCGCTAATTTTTTGTATGTTTAGTAGAGACGAGGTTTCACCATGTTGGCCAGGCTGGTCATATATTCCCATTTTTAAAGGACAACACTGTGACAGAATATATTAGTTATGCTCTATTATCAATTTTATCTTCTTCCTTGGTAAATTAAGGGAGAATGGATTAGTTTCATATTTCTGCTGTAACAAATTGCCATATAACTAGGGGATTAAAACAATATACATTTATTATCTTACTTTTCTAGAGGTCAGAAGTCTAAAATGAGTTGAAAGGGCTATTCCTTCTGGGGGCTCAAGAGAAGAATCTGTTTCTTTGCCTTTTCCAGCTTTTAGAGGCTACATGCTTTTCTTGACTTAGAGTGCCCTGCTCACATTGCTATCTCTGTTTCCATGATCACATTTCCTTATCTGAATCTGATCCTTCTTTATAAAGACTTTTGTGATTACATTATCCAGGATTCACGTTGATAATTCAGGATAACCTCTCCATCAAAAGATATTTGACTTAATCACATCTGCAAAGCTCCTTTTTCCATGAAAGATGACATATTTACAGGTTTCAGGCATTGGGACCTGGGCATCTTCAGCAGGTCATTATTCTGTGTATCACAAACGGCAATGGCCCTCCTCACCTGTTTCTTCTTCTCATCCCATGGCTGCGATGTGACTATACCAGCTGGAGCTCAAGCAGCCATCTTGGGCCATTGTTTAGAAGTCACGCACTGGGGATAGGGTAGTAGTGAGGTTGAACGCTCTGGGATCCTAACAGTTTTGTGAGCTACTCTGCCAGTCCTAGACTATTGTTCTTCTGACTTCTTTGAGATGCTTTTAGGTTTTCTAAATCTGACCGATACAGTTGTACCCTTTACACTTTTTAAAAATGTTCTCCCATTTCCACTTGGTTTTATATCCCAACTATTTCTCCAGGCTATTAAGTATTTAAGTGTTTTACAACAACTGTTTTGTTGTTGTTTTTAAAGACAGAGTCTTGCTCTGTTGCCCAGGCTGAAGTTCAGTGGCACAATCAAGTTCAAGGCTTATTGCAGCTTTGAACTCCTGGGCTCAAGCCATCCTCTCACCTCAACCTCCCTAGTAGCTGGGACTACAAGCACATGCCACCACATCTGGCTAATTTTTTTTTTCTTCTTCTTCTTCTTTTTAAATTGTGGAGACAAAGTCTCACTATATTGCCTAGGCTGATTTCAAACTGCTGACCTTAATTAATCCTCCCATCTCAGCGTCCCAAAGTCCTGGGATTACAGGCGTGAGTCACCATGCTTGGCCCCACAAACTTGAGTTTTGATGACTGTATAATATTCCACATTTTATTTAATGATTCCTCAACTATTTAAAAATTAGATTTTTATTTTTATTTTATTTTATTTTGAGATGGAGTCTTGCTCTGCAACCCAGGCTGGAGTGCAGTGGCATGATCTCGACTCACTGCAACCTCTGCCTCCCACTTCAAGTGATTCTCCTGCCTCAGCCTCCCAAGTAGCTGGGATTACAGGTGTGTGCCACCATGCCTGGCTAATTTTTGTATTTTTAGTAGAGACAGGATTTCACCATGTTGGCCGGGCTGGTCTTGAACCCCTGACCCCAAGTGATCTTCCCACCTCGGCCTTCGAAAGTGCTGGGATTACAGGTGTGAGCCACTGCACCTGGCCAACAATTAGATTATTTTTAAAAATCCTTTTGAATAAAACATTCCAGTGTTTTAACAGAAGGATTATAAGAGGAAGTTCATGGTTTAATGTGCATCTCACATTATAGCATGTGCTTATATTAGACCAATACAAATCTAGGTCAGGGCCAGCTGCCGTGGCTTACACCTGTAATCCTAGCACTTTGTGAGGATCCTTCCTGAGACGGGAGGATCGCTTGAGCCCAGGAGTTTGAGACCAGTTTGGGTAACATAAGGAGACCCCCATCTCTACAAAAAAATTTTAAAAATTAACCGGGCTTGGTGGTATCCTTCTGTGGTTCCAGCTACCTGGGAGGCTGAGGCAGGATAATTGATTAATTGAGCCTGGGGGTTTGAAGCTGCAGTGAGCGAGTTCCCATCTCAAAAACAAAAATTAAAAAAAGGCTAAGTCGGGTGGGAGCAAATCACCCTGGTTAAAAGAACAGCCTCTGTAAGAAAACCTTCAATTTTACCTGCTCTGAATTTGAAAACCTAAATCCAGTAAAGTGACAGGAACATCATATATGTAATATTTTTTAAGCTATCACAGTGACAGTAACATAGCCCAGGGAACTTAAAAAAGAACAGTTTTTCATACTTGAGTAAAACTTGGTTTTATTAAATATTTTTAGTTGAATTTTCCTGCAAAGAAGGTTGCAGGGAAAAAATTGAGTCATTTGTACCGTCGCTGCCCCGTGGGGCAATAGCAAATGATATTCTCTCAACATCCCACACAAATAGCACATTAGGCAATCTTTAGTGCTCTATATTATTTCCCTGAATAACAGCTATAAAAGAAGCTAAAAGGAATGCAAATATAGGTCAATGATAAGAACTCTTTTATAATATGCAGTCTCAGGGGTGTGGATAATTATAGTGAATATAAAAAGTCCACAATGCATCCTGCTGCAGAATGGCTGTCACTTGCACGTGAAACTTAAGATGTTATTTACTCCCTGTTCATTTAGCTCACCACTCCCCCCCCTTTTTTTTTAACGCTGTATCTTTCTTCACTGCACTCGTTATAGCTTAATATTACATATTTATTTGTTTACTTGTTTTTTTGGCTACATTATTAAAATGTGGCAGGGATCCCGCCTGCCTTCTTCACTGGAATAGCCTGTGTCCAGCACTGTTGCAGGCACAAAGTAAATCACAAACACCTGCTGCAAGGTGGGTGGGGATTTTGGTGATGAACTAAAGGGATGTGGAGGGACTGAGTCATGGAGGGACTGAGTCATGAAGGCACTGAAGAGGACTTGACTGGAACCTGAGGCAGTGGGGAGGTCACAGAAGGATATTAAACTGAAGTTGGAGGATGGTGAGGGACAAGATCAGACTTGGATTTTAGATAAATAACTCTGGGTTTGTTGTGGAGGAAGGGTTTGGGATGGCAAATAGCCTGGAGTTGGACCAGTGAGGAGGCTTTTGCAACATTCTAGGTAAGTGGAGATAAGAGCCGAAGCTTGAAAGTTGGTAATAATGAGATGATAACAATAATTATCAGTACAGCAAAATTTGCTGTATAGACAGCTAGTCATTACAATCCATTGTCTAGCCTACACTTCCCAGCCTCCTTTGCAGTTAGGTGTGGCCATGTGATTATGTTCTGGCCAATGAGATTTAAGCAGGAAGAATGACCTCCATAGAATTCTCTGGTACATACTCCTTCATTTTCTTTCCCTTTTCTGGCCAGTTGGGATGGAGAAACTATGTACTGAAGATAACTGGGCATCTATTAACATAGTCCCTGTAAAACCATGTAAACAAATGAGGAAGAAATATCTATTATATAGTCAAGCCATTGGATGATCTTAGGTCTGTTTGTTATAGCAGCTAGTGTTACCCTAATGAATTTTAGCACATGTGTTTTTACTAAGCATCATTCTTAATGCTTTATATATGATAACTCATTTAGTCTTCCCAACAGTTTATTTAGGATCATTTTATTGTTATTATCCTCAATTTATGGGTGAGGAAATGGAAACACAAAGGGGCTGTGTAACCTACTGACGGTTACACAGCTGGGAAACGATGTAGCCAGATTTCAGAGTTCTGGCTCTGATATTTTAAGCAATATCTGATTGTGGAGCTGGATAGGAATTAATACTTAAAAAAAAAGATATAGATGTTCCTTCCTTTCAATTAAACATTCTGAATTAAATTGAAACCTTAAAAAAGTTGAAATGGTCAAGCATAAACATTAATTAAAAAGCAAGTCATTTTTATAAGATAATAATATTTCAAGTAAAATGTAAATAAAACCACCTTAGGTGGGGTTTCCTGGAATCAGACCCTGTGCCTAAGATTTCTATGCAGGAGCTTTATAGGGAAGAGTTCCTTGGAAGTAAGGGAATCAGGACTGGGCAGAAGGAGAAGGTAAGCTATAATACAGCCAACACAGAGCCCATGGTGTGGGATGAGTCCTCAAGCTGGGATCACCCATCAGAGTTATCAGCCATCAAGGCAAGGGGTCTGGG